GGATTTCATTAGTCTTTCTCATGAGAATTGTCATTGAACATGATATTTTCCAGTAGCTGCTTTTATTTACAATGTGCAAGTACCTTGCATTTAGCTCTTACCTTGCATGTTAATACTGTTTTCATTAGCAATCTCTTGTCAGCTAGATTTAGGGTTGGCTCTGCATTGCACAGACTAAAATAACAAAGACTTATTTCTCTCACAAAAGCCAGGTCTTGGTAATTAAATGCTGGACTGCTGCCAGTGCTCCACAAAGCTCCCAGGAACCCAGCTCCCTCTAGCTCACCTGCCACCACTCACTCGGGAGTAGCCCTTGTTATGGTCTGAGATGAGGAAGCTACAACATCCCCATTCAAACAGCAGTAAGGCAAAAGTTTGAGAAGAGGAGAAAAGGACACCTTTAAGTTGTCTCTAAGGAAGGGTTCTTCAGGATTGTAAAGACCCATCTGCCTACATCTCCACTGGCCAGTACTGAGTCCATCTAGCTGCAGGATATGTAGAGAAATGTAGCTGAATTGTCTACTAGTTTGCAAGAGGGCAAGAACAAATATTAGGAGAAATTAAAAGGAAATAAGGAGGAAATATGATATTTTGGACAGATAACCACATTAGACAGTCAGAAAACCTTTATTCAGATGCAGTTTCACTGGGTTACCTCTCTGAATCTGTCCTGCTGCTAAAAATTAAGGTAATTATTCTGTCATAGTGTTTATGGTTGAAGATCAAATACAATTGACAAATATATCAGCACTTAGAAAATTAAAGGATGCATAAATATAAAGTATTATGTTTTAAAGTATTAAGCAAGCTGCTGTATATAAATTCAAAAAATATTACTGAGGCAACATGTCAGTTTTTACAGTAGCCCCATGGTAACCATATTTGACAAGCAGAAGAATAAGCGTTAATGACAAATAACTCATATAGAGAAGACACAGCTCTGTTTATGAAACACTTTCAAGAATATGATAGTACATTTGGTTCTATCAACTCTGTGCAGTAAGGATTATTGTGCCCTTTATATAGATAGAAAACTAAGGCAGAGAGGTTAAATGAATGGCTCAAAGCCAACTAGCTCTTAGTGATGAGTTTAGAAACTATGTTGTCTGCATTGCTGTTCCAGTCTTTATGTGTTACACATTGCTGCCCATTTGGTAGTCTAGATCTCTGAGATTACAGTGACAGACTCAGTTATTTATCCTTACTTTTTAAAAATTTTTATTATTTATTATTAGCATATTCATTCTTATAAATTGTGATATTTCTTTATGCCATTTACCTGACTGATCACTTCCAAAGCTCCTTTCCTCCCTCCCACCTATCTCTAGTATCCTTAAGTTTGTTCAACATATTGTTATGGTCTCCTTCCTTCCTTCCTTCCTTCCTTCCTTCCTTCCTTCCTTCCTTCCTTCCTTCCTTCCTTCCTTCCTTCCTTCCTTCCTTCCTTCCTTCCT